TAGTTCCCAAACTTTGGTTTTCAGTTGGCTACTTTGGCCACCAGGAAGTGACACGATATAGCCGTGACATGTCTGACCATGACAGAATGAAATTCTGTGCGAACCATCAAACTTGCAATCGCTACGTTCACACAAGCATTATAAGCACAAACTCAAAGGTCAAAACAAAACACAACATTCAGTGATGTGTAAAAGCCAGAGACCACCCTTTACTTATTTACTTTCCAGTCCAAACAGCCATTAATATTAATTTTTCAGCAGATATTTCTGAGAAGATTAAATATAATTCATGTGCATAAGAAAGGGAAAAGGAAAGTAAATGAATAAACACAAAGGTACCCAAAGCTGGAGTTTAAAAAATGATTAAAATATACAGAGAAAATAGATTAACTGTACTTTATCTGGCAGACCACCAAAACTGTCAGCATCCGATAAACAGCACTCAAGAAAATCAAGCTTCACACTTGCTTCAGATCTGAAAAATTCCACTGGTGTTTCTGTTCATCCTTCCACTGTGAGAAGACAACAACACTATGAGTCTGGAAGGATGTGTAGCTGCCAAGAAGCCATTACTAAGAAAAGGAAACAGACAAAAAAGAAGAATGTTTACAAATCAAACAGAGAAGCTTTTAAGAAACATGTTGAAACTGAAAGCGAGTCTCCTGAAAGCTGTAATAAAGGTCCACAAAAGGTGGACATACTAAATGCTGAGTGGTCTCTGTCTTTTGCACGGTACTGTATTATGACAAGGGAAAATGTGTTTTTTTGTCAAAATGTTCTTTGTTAAAAACAAAACATCAATGTCCAAAGCATATTTCATGGAACACGATTAGAGAAAAAAGCATTTCAATAAACTCAAATTAAGCCGAGTGCAGAGATGCAAATTGACCCAAATCTACTATCTGATGAAACATCATCTAAGAACAGAATTAGAGGAAATGTGTAGAGGTATTATAATGTGTGAGAATTATAGCTCTACATTCTGCACAACTCATGAACTACAAGAATATAAGAAAGACAAAAAACAGCCAAACAAGCAGACATAATGTTACCAAGTCAAACAATCACAGAACTGATGTTATAATCCCTTTCCCTCTGCCCAAGTGGGCAGCATTCATAAAACAGTCCCGTTTATATTTGCCAATCAGTGTACTTAGGCTAATGCTAAAATGCATGCTGAGGATTATGAGGCAGTTTGAGTTTTGGTCTCTGGGTCGGTTTAGCCGTTGTTATGATTTTTCTTTCTCACAATGACATTAATAAGGGTAATGAGTGTAACCAAGTACACAGGATTCACACATGATATTCATATATATAATTGTACATTTCCCAGATTGCATAGTTTTGAGTACTGACTTTGCATCAAAGTAGAACTGAATCCTAAGCTTTGATGTTTATAGACTTGTACCAGGTTTTTATTGTTAGTTTTGCGATAGTGAACCTCTCCTCTGCGCAATAACACCAGACGCAGCCAATTAACAGAACCAATGCCATTACAGAATTTATGATACTGCAGAGAAAATGAACATACATGTCACTTTCCTTAACGTCTCTGAACTGAAAGCACAGAACTGAATGAAAACACATTTTGCCTGCTACACTGTAGCATTAAGGTGGTTCCAGAGACATTCTGTACATAAGCAACAATCTCATGTCCATGACAACGATCATGGTCAATGTCAATATCAATGCAATCTCCATCAAATTAGAAAGGAAAAACACTAAGTGAATATAAACCTATTTCTATACATAACAGAACTACTACAATATGTACAAGTTATTTCTGTTCAGTATTTTTTTTTTTAGGATGAACAGTCTGATAAGTTGACAATATACAGTAAGGCTTTACAGGACATTGTATTTACATATTCATAAACCATAATATACAAAGGAGGTTCAGCTTTAGCACCTTAGAGAATATTGTTCCCGAAAGTTTTACCAGTAGAGCAATACTGGACATCTTAAGTGGAAAGACCCTTTTCCAGCTCTGTTTCCATTATTTGGTTACTAAACCAAGTAAATGAATATGCAATGCTGCTGATATCTAGTATTGCTGTACCTTCACCTATAACACTTTGAGAACAGTTATAGAAGGTTGTGCACAGGCTGTGCAGCCTCATCTACATGACCTCCCTCTCCTCCAGTCCACAATACCACTGGAATGTATACCATACGCTGCAATGTTATGTTACACATGTACACATGTACAGTAGTCATATACTGCATTGGCACCTCAAAAAGAATAATAATAAAAAAAAAGACTGAATATGTACACACTGGCATTGTTGTTTGCTGAAATGGTTGCCTTGGCGGTATTAAGCACCGACAATATAAAGGCACCACAGAATAAAATAACGTAGAATGTATTAAAAGATATGAAAAAAGGGAATTCTGTATGACAGATGTTGCCTTCCACAGTTATCGAAATCAAGCAGCTGCACGTGTAAGAATGACTAAGCCCCCCTGCACACCACAGTGCAGCCGAGTGAACATTACACTACACTTTCTGTTATCACTTTACGCTGTATCGTCAAGGAAGCCCTTGCAGCCTAGGCGAACATGCAGAATCAGGAAAAAAGAATTATAGAAAGGAATGCATGAGCACACAAAAACTCTGAATACAAAATTGAGATTTTTTTTTTTCAAGACTTCATTTAACAGTGTTGGAATACAGTCGTAATCCTCAGGCAGCAGTGGAAGCTCATGAGGATATTGCATTAGCATTTTTCTGCGTATTAATTAATTGGAATCCTTGACACAGCATAACAAACACAACCTCAAACTTGTACAGCCTGGTAAGAACATTTCAAGTGACGAGGTTTTAGTGATAAAGGAAAACTGATCACAGTGTATTAGCACCTGGAGGAGGGCAGATGCTCCAAAGGACGAATCTAGCAGCTAACATATTTTTTGGCAAACGTTGAAATAAAAAAAATATACTACAAAAGACGAGATGGGACGTTCTCCAGCAAACAACAGTGATCCAGGATACAGTGGATGCAGAAAACAGGGAGTGAAATGATCAGACCTCATTTTCAATTAAGCTTCGGTATTTAATACATATTCAGAGGTACTAGATTGTGTATGTATGCAGTTAGCTTACTACATTTGAAAAGAACCCAAGAACATTTTGCAGTGAGAGAAAATCTACAACAAGAGTATCTGCACCAGAATACACCTGAGCCATACATTAATATAAGGGAAGGGCTAGCAGCAACCAGGGAAGGAGCCGAGTTAAGAGATTCAGTGTACAGTGTACATCCATCATCTATTAACAGGCAAAATAGAACATTTACGTCAAGACCGGTCATTTAAAACCCTCACAAGCTGTTCATCAAGCTCCTTTCCAACCCTGGCAAGAACCCTTCACCTCATTGGACGCACCTGCATGGCATCTGGTTGTTAGGATCTTTGCAGGCACAATGGAGTCAAAGACAGCAGTGATCTCCTAAATATGGTGCACCAAGCCAAACCTGAAGTGTTCCAGTTGACATGCCTGAACAATGAGTATTTCTGTCAGCATGTGCAAAATATAATGGAAATGAGGATGGTGAACTACACGGCTCATGGTCTTGCAATGAGCACAAATATACAAGCAAGCAGACAAATTAAAATCAATTCAATTAAGTTACCAAGCCCTCTGCACCTCACCACTTCCACAAAAGTGCATGGCAACCTAGGTAAAAATGTAGCACCAATTAATCAACTGTTTGCTTAGATTCTATAGGAAAATGAATTCACTGTAAGCACCTATCCAGGACTGGGAGTTGTTAACAGGTGGCTGGGTGCACCACTGGCAGAGAGAACAGTAGATTACAGTAGAGGATGTGATTTGGCTTTGTATAGTTCTGCTGATGGCAGCAAGCCCTGTGTGCCATGGGAAGGCGTCCTCTTCTCAGAGCCGATCAGGAAAGTCCTGCGGTGAAACACTGCCGTGGCCTCGTACTCTGTGGGAAACCAATCAGGTATATTCAGGCAAAGATAGCGTCTACCTCCATCGGTTTAGCTTTTCATTACACCTTGGATCAAAGTAAAGGTAAAAAATTGCAACATTGAAAAAAAATATTTACGTGTGATTCCATATGGAACCACTGACAAATGTTTGCACCTTGGAAGTTTATTACTTGGAATTCTAGTTTAAATGACTGAATAGGGAGAATGGGGCTAAAAACAACAACAATGCATCAATACCGAGATGCTTATATGGAGCAGGGAAAAATGGAGGAGAACTTCCTGACCACTCTCACAACACTGCCTTTGAGAGGGCTTTACTGTGCTTATATTATCAAGAAAACACTGCGAAAGTATGGACAGACAGGCCAATACAAGAGCACAATGCTCTGAAGCACCCTATTTCTCCCAGCCGTGTTCAAAGGGCCTGCAACACACTTACTGCGCTCTTTATAAACCATGCATGACTTATGTACTCAAAATACTGTCCAACATCTACTTTCTAATCCTGTAATACATGTATTAAACATATTGTGCAAACTGGGCTTCATGAGCTTTTAATGCAAAGTTGTGCTATAGTGAGTCAATGAGGTATCTCTAGTAAATCATTTCTTGGATGTTTCTCTTTAAGGTAGCTTTAAGGCAATCAGCCAATGAATGCCATTGCGTAATCAGACTAAATGGTTGAAGGCTTTTGCCTGCAGAGGTCAGTGTAAGTCCAAACTAAATCAGAAAGCCTCCAGGACACTGACAAGCCATTTAATAACTTGAGCAGACAGGGAGGAAGACAACTGAAGTTAAAACTCACAGGTACAATGGAAGCTATATGAATGTTATTAATAAATTCTTAAAAGGCGGTGCTGGCGTGGTTGACCTACCTCCATTTTTCCAGTGTGATGATTTCAACTAGTTGTAAACACCATGATAGAAGATATATATATATATAAATATATATCCTCTACAGAGGATGCCGGCAATTTTAAACAGACTATTTATGTACAAATAAATATACACTCATAGTATGAAAAAAAAAAACATGTATAATGACTTTGATCAAGTTTTGTTCTTCACATTTCTAAAGTATTCATTGATGTTGGTTGATTACATCTTTAAAAAAAAAAAACTTTTTGCCAGACATGAAAGGTTGAAAAAAAGAAAAAAAAAAAACGAGAGAGAGATGGACGGCGTGATAAAAGGGAGTGACAGAGACAAGGAAAGGGGTGGAAGAGAGAGCGCGTCGTCACAGGGAGGACTCATACTGCAGGAGCTCGTAGAGCAGTGGTCCATCCCTGTACCTGATCCCTACAGCTGTGGGGGTGATAAACTGTAGGATGTTTATAGTCCTTCTCAGACGCCTGTCCACAAAGTGGGCATCCCAGGCTGGGTACCGTTTGCGGGGCATGTCGATCTTGATGAGGGGCCCTTCTGGCCGGTAGCGGCCCAACGGTGTGGTGGGCTCAGGGGAGCGCACCTGAAACACCGGCAGGCAGGTGTCTGCCGCAGAGTCATCTTGTTGGTCATAAGCCCCTGTGGGGACCCGGGTAGGGGTTGGCTGTGACGCTCGAGGACCAGGGGTAGGGGCCATGGGCTCAGCTTCTGGGGGTAAGGGAAGGCCCCAGAGGAGCTCGGCACAGCAGGAGCTGGCCAGTACTCTCAACCTGGGACCCATGGGGTGAAGGACACCATAGTAGATACCCATGAACACCACCCCTGAGGCAAAACTTAGGTAGACTCCACAAAGCACCGGTACCGCATATGAGTCTGTAGTGGCCGGGTCTCTGTATGCATACCACAGGCAGGTGAGCACCGTATTCTCAGCCAGCACCACAAAGTAATAGATCATCATGCGGTACCGGGTCCTGCCTTCCTTTACATTAAACCAGCAGAAGATGTAGACAATGCCCACCACCATGTTGAACAGCACCTCTTCCCATTTGGACATGCAGAAATCTGTGCCTCCATGCACAATCCAGAAGGCCATGGCACACCAGTGCACCACCACGAAAATGCCAAAGTAGATGTGGAAGATGGAAGCAAAGAGAGCGAAGGAGAGCACCCGTGAAGAAATAGTGAAGAGCCTCCAGAAGATGTGGATCAGTGCACCTCGATAGCTCATGCTCTTCTTGTCATCTCTGGAGTCCCTCAGGAGCTTATGATAGGAGGCTAACACCCAGGACAAGGACAGCAGCGATGCTAATAAGGAGACACCTTAAAGAGATAAAGTAAAACTGAACTGAGTACTGGCAGCCACTTACCAGTCTGATGATGCAATTTGTACTATACTGTCCAAACAGAGTCTGAAAACATGCTAGGCTCATGTCTAGATCCAGATTAAGCCATGTAATGGAGTGAAAAACGTTACATAGGAGCATCACAATCAGATCAGCCTATCCTTTGACTAGAAACCCATCATAATTTCTTTCTAAACTTACTGACAGACGATCTGACTGAGTCTAACTGGAGGTAAAGAGTAGGGATGCACATTCAGAAGTGACAGATTTTTGCTCAAAATACGAAATCGGCAATCGGTCAATTTATTGGTTTTTTTATTATGGCACGTGTTGAAATGTTATGACGTGCGTTGTATTTGAACAATGCTGCTACATATATACCAAAGTATGATAGCATAATTGTGCTAAATAGCCAGTTGCCTCTTATTTTCAATGCCTCTTACTTTTCATTCATTTTATTTAATTAGGCAACTGATTTAAAAATGAAAAGGTTCAACATTTAATATGTCAGTTTGCTCTTTGTGGAGTTTGCATGTTCTCCACGTGTCTGTGTGGGTTTCCTCCCATAGTCCAAAGACATGCAGTCAGGCCAAATGGAGATGCTAAATTGCCCCTCAGGTGTGAATGTGTGTGTGTGAATGTATATGTTTGTCTGTCTGCCCTGTGAAGGACTGGCAACCTGTCCAGGGTGTTTCCTGCCTTCTGTCCAATAATCGCTGGGATAGGCTCCAGCACCACCCGCGACCCAGGAGAATAAGCGGATTAGACAACGTGTGTGTGTGTGTGGTGTGTGTGATGCCCATTACAGAGCAAATAATGATGTTTATATTGCAAGTTTGGTTTATAATAATACTGGAAATGTGCTAGCGTGCTTTTTTCATTTACTCCACACAGTGCTTCGGGTTAATCAGTCATAAAATTATTCATCTGTTCAACCCTAGTAAACAGTAAATAAGTGGATTCCTTACACTGCAGTGTCTCAGCCCGGTTCTTCTGGATCATAATGCAGAGCTGTAGCACCAGTTGGGGGGCACTCTCCAAGAAGGTCTCCAGCAGCCGAAGCATGTTGACGTCAGCATACTCAAACATCATGGCCCAATAGAAACGCCGCCTGTGTTCTGCCCGACGCCGGCTCTGAATACCCAGGTACATAGTGCGGATGTACCTGTTTGAAAAAGAGGACATTTGCCAAACCGTGAGTGAAATCTGTTAATTCACTCAGATCCTCTAACTCTGCTCTGCTTTTCATTCTGCACACTCAACTCTGCTATGGGAGCAAGATCATTTAGTGCCCTTGCTTACAAACTTGGGAATGCCCTTTCTCAACATTTCCATGACTTCCATATTTTTAAAACTAAACTTAAAACACATATTTCTGCTGACCAATATCACACTTATTATAATAATATCATACTAATAAATAAACAAATTGTATCCACATCTAATATTATATTAAGTAATCCCTGTATATATTTCATGTTGTTTCTATATTTTATATGTTGCTGTTACTTTAATATATTGCCTCTAGTTCTTGAATGTTAAAACTGTTATTGTATTGTGTCTGAATATATTTGATTTGATGGTAGTTTATTATTTGGTCTAAAAATGGCACTCTGTAAATAAAATGAAATATTAATAAAAAATAAAAAAGGTATTATTACAGTATGTGCTTAGTATGAAAGCATTACAAGGACCAGGTAAGCCCTCTAGTCACACTATTCAGAAGGATAACATTAGCCTCTGCATTCCAAAGACACACATCAATCCTCTTTCATTCGAGGGACAGATACCAAGGTAACTATTTTAATAGCTGACTGAATCACTCTGTACTCATCACATTCTAGCACCAGCATGCTGAAATAGCATTAATAGAATGTACTTTTTAAATGAGGGCAAATTTGACTAACCAACACTTCACTGCTTCAAAGAACACTTTTCAATAGGTATAGCTCATCTTGTCTGTGTGATCATGTCTTTTAGAAACTCAATAATTTGGTATTTTATTTGTGCATTAGTTTGACTTTCTAGGCGGAGTGCACAAATTAGTTTCACACCATTAAACATCAGATTTAAAATTCATTTATTAATCATAACACTATTGTTTTTAGTAACAATAACAACTATGTAACTACTATGAAACTCACATGCAAGTTATGTAGTTATGATAGTGATGAATTCAAATGTGGACTCATGCTCAAACCCTTTTAAGGTTTAAGGGTGTAAAATTAAGTAAATGAACAGCATGATGCAATAAGTCAGTTGACTTTGAGATGTTCAAAAGTTTGCCGTATTTACATTAACATTTTGTTATTTTATATTCAATAACAATTGTTATTTTTTTTACACTAATATACAAAAACAACAAATACACTGTCAATTTAAATTTTACAAACTATTTGCCAAAAGGTATTTTTAGATGTCTTATTAAATATTCCAGGAATTCTGTGAACAGAGAATCAAAGTTATTAAGAGATCAAATTGAGAATCAAACAGATATTAAATAATACACACTATAATGCTATATTTCCATTAGTTATTGTTTCTCTTGAGATTTGGTCTCCCCCTGAATTCTGGATATCAATTTTATTAGAATTTAATTCTCGATGCTACACAGTTTTCTCAAAATTCAACTTATTAGTCTCAGCCAGTTTAGAATCTTCATTTAATTTAAAGCTTCTTAGTGTCCCGCTAATTATTTTTATCGTGAAGTTGCACAAAATGAGCATATCGTCACTGTCCAAAAAAGTATCTCCAAAATGGTAACTTTACAGGAGATGGCAAGAATGATATTAACATTCAATGTAAGTTAATGTGAAGAAAAGTCCTGCATCCCAAGTGATTTTGGAGCATTTCTATTGGCCCATTCATCTTGAATTTTTTACATAATATAAAGAGAGCTGCCAGGTTCAAAAGCAAAAATGGGGTCTTTCTTGGACAGCAATGACATTCAAACCATTCACGGTCAGCAACCAAACTGTTCTTATATTATTGAAAATGGTGACATCTATATTTAAATATATATTGACATATGACATATATTGAAATATATGTATTTTATATATAAAACATTATATACGTACAATATATATTATTGAAAACGCAAACATCTATTACCCAGTATACAACTCAAGAATAACAGTTTGCACTGTAGTCCTTGTAGTTACTGAATAATGCACCTGTACCAGGGCTGTGATTTTAGGGAGGTAAAAACACCAAAACATAAATTTGAAATTAGATTCTATGATTAAAAGGTGAGGTTAACTTTAGCACTCATGGTGCTCAACTGGGCTACTTCATCGTTTTCTTCTTGTTACCAATGCAACTCAGCCAGGTAAGCTCAGTGTGTTGGGAGTTGGAGCAAAACTAAAAAGCAGATGAACTGTGGGACCCTGAGAACCTAAGCTTTAAAGCACATAGATATCTCTCCTATAGAACGCCTGGAGCAGAGCAACTCTAGATGGACATGGGGCATGTATGCGAATTATTTATGACTGCGAAATTAGTTCAAGCAGATGGTGATGGGATTTTCCCCATCTAGGCTAAGGATAGATAGACCATAAACAGCTGATAAATAAATAGAGCTGACGATGCAAAGCTAATGCTTAGTGGCCCTTAAAGGAGCCAGTTAAGAAAAAGATATGCAATGTTTACCCCCCGTTTTGAAAGGGTTGAAACGTGCTCTAACAGGTTTTTCACTGTAAACGTTCTCCATTTATCTGGTGAATTTCTACAAATACACCAAAAGGTCAGAGAGTAGGCCAAACAACAGCTGCTTCAGGAAAAAGAATCTTTTCTACTCTTGATAGTTTTTATAAAATCACTAGCGCAGAAGTGGAGCAGCTGTAGGCTGTTGCTCGCTGCTCAAGAAGGTACTTAAAAACGAAAAGAAAATAAAACCTTCAGAGGACAAAGAGATGAGCGAGATGAATGGAATTTCTTAGGGCTACAGAGTGTATAACACAAATTCAGGCACAGTGCACTGTAACAGATCTGTGGTGAGGAGAGATAAATGGAAGTCTTCTGTGAGTGAGAGACATGCTCAGAGGTTTGCTCTGAATCAGGCTGAGATCTGAGAACTTTATTTCCCTGATGTTTCAGTACGATTCTGTGATACTTGACATATTGCTAGACAAATTACAGATAAAAAACAAAGATAAATTTACACAAAAATATATATTTCTCTCTTAACAATAAACATATTTAAAAGCTGTTTTCTCAAAAACCAGATCAGGATGATGACAAAGGTGGCTATGCACGTTCACTGCGTTGCCCATGTACTTTATTTTAACAAGATAGTTCTTGCAAATCACAAAGTCTTTGTCTATTTAACTGTCCCTTCAATGCTGTAAAAGCTGAAATGGGCCCAGACCTTTGACTAGAAAGAGGATGGTGCCTGTCTGATTTCTTTTTCTGCCCCGCAGATTTACCCTATTCATCTGCTTAGTGAATCTGGTTCATCACATTGGAGGGCGAGTCCCTTTAGAGCATTTACAGTGCAGGCATGTTTCAATAAATAAAGTGATATTTGGCACCAGTGTATTGATAACGTATCACAAAGGAAAGCGATACGATATCACCGTATCAATATTTTAGCCCACTCCTAATCAACATTCGATTTACTAAGGCTGCTCAGAAGACCACAAACTGCATAGGAGCACCAACTAGCTTTCTGCAAAAGCTCAGGGTTTAAAAGGCACCATAAAATAATGGAAATGCTAACAAGAGACAAAAAGGGGAAATGAAGGTTCAGTGATGAAGAGATGGCAGTGTTAATATATGAGGTTCTTTCCTGTCAAAACATTCAACAGGTGTGTAACTATACTCCAAATAAAGAAAACAGAATTTGAACAATAAAACAATAACAAGGAGTCCGCATATTGTGGCCACAAGAACCTGCTGGTGCTCTCAAAACAGCCCACTCCAGAGTCTAGACCTCAACATCACTGAATGTGCTTTGGATTACTTGGGATTGTTAGAAGCAGAAAATGTGACCAACTTCTAAGACTGAACTTTGGAGGTGTGGATAATAGACTGCCAAAAAAAATGAAAGCTGTAATAAAGGTAAAAACTTGACACACTAAAAACACATATTATATGTAGTTGTTAAGGCTTTGGTGTAATTGTCTGTTAAATATATGTTTTTTGCTCTTTTCCCTGACACTAAAACAAATGCTAAACTTGTACTTAATGGCTGTTTTGGTTGGAATTTAGGAAATGAAGGGGACAGTACTGATAGAATGCCATTTTGCACCTGAAAAGCTCAGTACGTTGGGACATTGCAAACTTCTCATATATCAGTATTATGACGGTTGATATTGTGATAGGAAACGATATATTGTGCAGTGACAGTTCCCATCAACACTGAGCATAAAAATAGAGCAAAGGAGAAAGAGCAAGGGTAAAGGCAATGTGATTGTGAGAGACTGAAAGTAATCAGTAGGCACACAATGCAATTTTCTGGCCGTGTGCTCGCCGAGCCTTACCCCTCTCTTCTTCCTTCCTTGTGTGTTTTCAAGTATTCTGCTCACGTGGTTGGTCCATATGCAACAATCTAAATCATTCCTTCAGCACCCTCACCATAAAAATGTGGCCCAGCTCAACAAGAACACTTCACCAGTCTTCCTGCCAGCTTGACAGTCTCCAGCCTTCATTCATGACGCTCTTATGACAATTACATAAATTTTACATGTAAAACTATCACTCTGCTCCCTGACACACACACACACACACCTCACATCTCTTCCTGACTTTCAAATATGAAAAAGAAGAAAAGAAGAAAGAAGCCTGTCACTGCTTCTCTGCTCTCGCCGCACAAATCCTGTGCTGAATACTGATACTTGAACAAAGACTGAAAATAGGTGGGAATTAATATTTAAAACAAAAAGCGATGCTAATCAGATATTATCGCTGCGAGCCACTCAATGTTTTACAGTGCACTGAAAGTGGCTACTGTTGCAATGTGGTCATGTTGTGATATATGAATTACATCAGTAGTGCAAGAACAATGGGAAATGTCTTTTAGATGCAGAACATGGCAAAATGTGATGCAGGAAAAACAAGCACAATTGTCCCATCAGCAAAAAGGAGAGGGGAAATTAAACACACTTCACGGCTAAGATTCACGGTGGGGTACAAAACAGCCATGATCAGCTCTTTAGAAAATAC